GAGAGCCTCTCAGCTTTATCACAAAGCTCTCACACACACTTAACCCGAGGCAGCTACTCTAGCCAATTAAGCCTCAATATTCCAAGTACAATATGAAAGGGAAAGGAAAAACTCTATCTAGAACTCCGAGCGGGCAGTTTCAGGCGCCAAGGACTTGATTCTTTTCTTGAATGATTCTGCTAAATATTTTTCTCCGTTCAGCACTACTGCGAATCACCTTTAGTTCAGAATATATAGCTCCTCTTGAGACAACCGTTGGCTCCTCTTTCCTTAGTTGGTTGCTTGATTATTTAATGCACTTTCCTTGATAGTTCTTCCAATGGATCTTTCCAACTCGGTCTCAATCAAGAGTGGATTTGTTCATTATATACGAATTATCATATAAGGAAGAAAAGCAACGGTCATACAAAAAGATTATCACCAAATACGGAACAAATTTACCAAAGGAAGCTTTTGGTCAACTTTTGGTAAATGGAAGCTTTCATAATAATTTCCTTCCTTCTTTGGAGTGGATCATTTGAAAATTCTTTCCATTAGTGATATCAAATTATGCTACGGATACTACTAAATCCCAAAAGGTAATAATGTCATGCAGGTCAAGTTCGAATAACGTTGCCTAACATAGAATTCAAATAATCATTTAAATAAAGCCTCAAATAGAACCAGGAGAAGTTCTAGTTCTGATCTCTGCATGGGTTAGCCACATATATTTTAAGGACCAGGTCTATCTATTGTTCCTGCATGGTTAGTCATCAACAAAACAACATGTTCAACAATTGTGGTTGTGTAAGAAAAAGGTAAATGAATGTGAGCCACACAAAACTTTCCAAAAGGGGAAATGAGAACTATTTTGCGGGACGGCCCAAAAAGGAAACCGGGAACTATTTTGCGGGACAGGGGGAGTACCACGGGGAAGGCCCCCAAAAGGAGGAGGCCGGACGGGGCTCCGATCAGGATATTCCTGACCGGAAGATTACTCTATATATATATATATATAAATGTATATTTACTTATTTATTTTTATATTACATTCACTATTTTAGTTTAGCTATTTAACTATTCAAAATTGTTTTTCATTTTAACCGGTTCTCTTGGGCTTCTTTAGCGAATATAATGTTTTGTTTTATTTACTAACATTTGCGGTTTGTTATGTATTTATGTTTTAAACTCAACTTTTGAGATTTGAAATGATGTTCAACATATTTGTATTGTAATTTCAAACGTTGAATGTCTTTTTGGCACAAATATAACCGTGATTTGTAAGAACTTTTTTAAAGACGAGGAACCGTTAAATGACAAGAACCGAACTGTTAAGAATGGTTCGGTTCCTTATCGGTTCTATAAAATAATTTAAAAGAACCGAACTGTTAGTAAAATTTCATATTTTCAAACGGTTCCACATATTTGCCTAAGAACCGAACCGGTCCCAGGCCTAACGAACACCCCTAATTGGAGTATTGGGTTGGTGGGTACTTAGCTCTTATTTGGGCCGTTTGAGACCGTGGGTCTGGAGTTGGAGTTTCTGGGCTGATCTAGCTGTTGGGCCTTTATTCTTTATTGGGCCACTCCATTACCATATTTGACCTAGCCTTTGCTTTCACAAGTGCACAGCCTCGACTGGCCCAAGAGACCGAAGAGAGTAGCGGATGCTACTGTAGCTAATCACAGGGAGCTTCATCGGATGAGGATGGAGGCGGCAAATCTCACTCAGGACTGCGAGCAGCGAAGCTTCCTCAGGTGGAGACTGACTCAGGGCGGCCCTGTATAATTGAAGGCCTATAGGGGCGAACAATTTAAAATGGGCCTAATTTAAAAAAATTGTAAAATACATTGTATCTAAATTAACATGCAAAATATTACTATTTGAATACCTTTATAATAAAGAAAATACTTGAGTTCATTAAATTAAACATAGTCAAATCAAGTTTTCAAAATAACCAAATAAAAATTACTTAAATACATTCCTTGCTGAACATTGAGACAAAGTCATCAATTATAACACATTGTGCTCAATGTTTAATATAGCTAATCCAATAAGCTTTTTTTGAGACATTGTTGATTGCATATAATTTTTAATTTCTCCCCTCTGGATTCGCTCATTTTTATCAAACCTTGAAATTAGTTAAATTTAAAATTTTAATTATAATTGAAAATTTTTAACTAACAAAATGAACAAATTATAACACCAAGGTAACAATCATCAATTAAGTGATTAACATCTCACAAAATCATCCAATTATTTATCAACTATTCATAATCATTTATAAACATTTAACAACTACGAATTAAATTGATCACACAAATACACAAGCATATGTTCGTACTACTCAAATAAATTAAAAAAAGGAGAATGTGAAAAACTGTTCTGTACAACAAATAAACAATGGCCAGAACGGAGCGTTGGAAGGCATATCTGATAACCACAAGTTTAAAAGCCTTAAGGCAAAACGGCAGATCGGAACTCGTGATTCGTGAAGACTGAAGGGTTGACGGCTGATTGACTATTTGGCTAAAGGTTGAAAACAACATGGAAACCGTTAAATGATACGAATCAAACGATACGCTACGTATCTCTTGAGCGACGACGTTTAGTTTCTCCGCTTTTTTTCATTCCGGGCCTTTGGGCTACTTGGACTATACAAAATTAATAATTTCGGGTCAAAACTCAGCCTACTCAAATATACTATGAAGAAATAATTTTGGGCCTAATGCTACTTCACGATCTATCACTCCTGGAGCTCTTAGCAGCCATTAATGGCGGATACCTTAAGGTCAAGCTCCAAAAATTGAGTTAACTAACTTAGGAGACAACCTTCGAGCTGCGGTGGCGACCAGCACGATACCAGAGGTGGTTTGTAGTGATCGGTCTCCACAACCGTCGCAGACCGCTGGGTCGGTGTAGAGTTGGACGGGAAATTCGCCTGAAGTGACGGCGGTACTGGACCCGGAACGACGGCGAAGAGGCCTGGGACGGGGTGCCAAACTGCAGCAGGTTCGACTCCAGATGGAGCAAACTGCAAGCGCGCGCAGCAGGTGCGACAGCACCCGGCAGCCCAGATCTTCGATTTCCAAGATGACATTTCCAGCTCTGTTTTTGCTTATTTCTTGTGTTTTGGATGAATTTTTGGAGGTTTTTGAGAGGGTTTCTCACTTCATTTTGCTCAATATGAGAGCATCAAATGATTGTTTATGAGGTATTCAAACATATATAAAATGGAGAGATATATCAAATGACGGTTTGGAAATAGTACAATGACTTATTTGAACATACTACCTCCGTCCCAAAAAGGTTGGCCAATTTGACTTTTCTTGATCAATAGTGTTAAAGTTTAGACAATGATTTTAGGTATTATATGTATGTGTAATTTATAAATTTTATACTTTTATGAAATATCTTTAATAAAGAATAAGCTCATATAATTTTCATGTTTCAAATAAATTTGTATTAAAAGATATTATTGGTCAAAGTTGATAACCGTTGACCAAGAAAAGTCAAATTGGTCAACCTTTTTGGGACAGAGGGATATTATCAAATGACGGTTTGGAAATAGTACAATGGCTTATTTGAACCTCTTTCCAAAATAGAGTTGGTCAATTTTATGTGAGTGGAACATTTTTTACTCTCGACTTTAGAATTCCAGATATTTCATATTCTAAGTATTACGAATTTGACAATTTCACTCCTTCAATTTTGATTTTGTCATGAAAAGTACATAACCAAAGAATGTACTCCCTCCGTATGAAGGTCCTTTATTTCCCTTTTTGGATGTTCTAAAATGATGGTCATGTTTCCCTTTTTGGAAAGAAAGATGTGGTCCACATCATTTCATCTTTTTCTATTTAAATCTCAACCACAACTTTTACCTTTTCAACCATTTTATTAAAATTTGTGCCCAAAATAAGTGAAGCCATCACATTGGGACGGGGGAGTACCACATTTAAAAAATCTACTAAAAAATTCACTTCATATGAAATTTCTATTTTATATTATGTAGATTTTTTTAAAAAAAAAACTTGTATAAAAGTCATATTTAAAATATTAATACTAAAAAAAACTTATAGAAAAGTCATATTTAAAATATTAATAAAAAAAATTATAAATAAAATATTTTTGCTATTTTATACTCCGTATGACGTAGATTTTTTTTTAAAAATTATAGAACAGTCATATTTAAAATATTAATACTAAAAACAAATAAATTTATATGTGTGTGCTTGACTAACCAATTTCATACGTGTGTGCTCGCGTTAATGTACATATGTTAAAAATGATAATGTTAGTGTTTATTTAAAATAAGCGTAAATATAATTTTTATAAAATTTTTCAAGACTTACTAAAAATAAAAAAAAATAAAGTTAAGTTATATACTTATAAATTCATATTTCTAATGGTCATTTTACGTCTTAACAGTTAATTGCAAACAGTTAAGTTACTAACATTTTGTTTCAAACTGATGAGGCGATAATGAAAGTGGTTAGTTAAAAAGTTAACAGAATGTGCTAGTATTAATTTGTCGATTCAACAGACTTTTAGCTAGCAGACAGCTGGTTATGAAATATGGGAATTCAAAATTCAAGGACTGCAGTTGTATTTTAAAATTGGTTAGTCGAGCACACACATATAAATTTATTTATTTTTAGTATTAATATTTTACATATGATTATTTTATGAGTTTTTTTAAATTTTTATGGTATATAAAATAGAAAACATATTCCATATAAAATAGAACCTTTATATGGAATATAATTTTTTAGTAGATGTTTTAAATGCAGTAGATTTTTAGTAATATACTTTTCATGACAAAATCAAAGTTGGACTGAAAATGTCAATTTCAAAATACTTAGAATATGAAATATCAAAAATACCCTTTTTTATCCGATTTGTCTCGGGAGGTTTTTTTTTACCAATTTGGTAAAATACCCCGTTTTTTTGCCAATCTGGTAATTTGACCACTCATAACTTGGTGGGTTATTTAAAATTTGTGTATTTGTATTGGCAGGGTTTGGTCCTGACCAAAGTTCCAAAGATTAAATGTGTGATCATAATAGGAGCGGCAAAAATAAGCAGGGACAAATTTGTAGCAGAGAATGCATATGATCCACAAACCAGGTGCCCATCTGTTCATATTATAGGGAAGGGAGAGGGCTGCAGGGAATCAGCAATACAACTTGCTCAATGTTATGTTGATCCTATAGTCATTCATCATCCCAAAGGCCATACCATTCCCAGATTTGGTAAATACTTATTTCATTCTTAAGTTATGAATTCAGCAATAAAAAGTGATGACATACTCACTCCTTTTCGTATGGCGGTCTATGTTTCAATTTAGATGTTTGATTAAACATAAAGTTAACCAACACCATCCGATACTTCGATTACTATTAACTAATATATACTCCGTATAACTTAGGGAAAAGGTGTCGCCCATGTACTAACCAAAAAATGTCAAATAAGCCTGTATTTAGGAGGCTCTATCCGGTCGTCGCCATTTGGGGTGGTTCCCGGTGGAATTTTTTGATGAATTTTTTTGAGAATCTTATTCATTAAGTCTAGTTTACTCATACCAAATTTCAGCTAAAACTTCCATCGGGAAGGCATTCAAATGAATTCTTGAAAATAACTGCGCAGTTATCTTCAAAAATTTATTTGAATGCCTTCCCGATTGAAGTTTTAGCTGAAATTTGGTATGAGTAAACTAGACTTGATAAATAAGATGCTCAAAAAATTTCATCAAAATATCCCACCGGGTACCACCCTAAATGACGACGGCCGGACAGAACCTCCTAAATAAGGGCTTATTTCACCTTTTTTGGTTAGTACATGGGCCTATTTACACATTTTCCCTATAACTTATTAAGAAACTATGTTAAAGCTAAGTTTAATCAAAGCTTAGTTTTATAAGGCTCAAAGCTATGATTTATTGAGATAGGACTATGTATTAAATCCTTAAGACTCATACTGAATCTTAATAATATGATTCAAATTTGATCAAGGCTAAGTTTTATGTATATAGTCAAAGAGAAGTCACTGGTTCGAGTCTCATCCCAATCAAGGATTTTTGGCATTAACTCGAGCAGATACTATAATATGTTTAGAAAGATATGCAAAAAAAAATGTTTTATGTATATATAAAATTGATGATTCAGAGTGATTTCAATCAGCTACAATTTACTAAGTCCACTATACATACATACATATATATATATATATAGGGGTTAGTTCCTGTGAGAACACCCTCTTAGGAGAGTAAAAAAGAACAAAATTCTACCTTTAATTATTTCAATCTGATGGTCAAAAAACATTCTAAATTGGAGACGTCTATCCATAATTTCTGGAAGGGATTTGGCTCCTAAAATGACAACGTGCAACAATGTATTAATTCAGGGGCATAAAGGTGAACCACATGTAAGTGGTTACCACGCACAAGCCACTATAATAGGAAGTGATCCTAACAATTAGGAGAGAAATTAATACGGAGTAATCATCCTCATAATTATTAGCACCATTTGTTTTAATAAATAGTTTATTTTATTTAATTTTCTTTCCAAATTTAAGGTCCTCTCCCGTGTGACTTTTCTTTTCAAATGCAAGATTTGTCAATTACAATTTAAAGCTGAATCGTTGCACTCAAGTAGTTTAACAAATGCCCTTCTACTTCAATTATCATGCACTTTATAATCTTTAACTTTTATGTGTGAGAACTTAAAAACATGCACCTTTGAATTCACAAATCCTCACTTTTGTGTGTATCTTGTCCTTCATATTATTTTAATATTTTTGTGTTTGCACTCTTACTGATCTGATTTTGCATATTTTTAGTTTTTGATGTAAATTTAAATAATTATTAATCATATTTGAAGAGATATGTTTTCACCGAGTTATATGCACTCAAACTATTTATCAAATGCACTTTTATTCAATTATCACGCACTTTTATTTTAATTGCACTTATAGTATTTGAATCTTTACGTGTTTGCACTTATACTGAAAACATTATGCACTTTTCAAACATTTGAAATACAAAATGCGTCCACTTTTGAGTGTCTGAGATGCACTATTACATTGACAAAATTTCATCAATCACTTTTGATCCTCTACGGTACACTTTTGCACGTTGCAAGTTCACTTTTTGTAAACTATAAAAACTTTGATTTATTTACGACAATGTCACTGCAATTTTCATCTACTTTAATGCATTTTTGACATATTTAGAGCAATTAGATCCTAAATCCGGCACTCCATATTTAATCCCATTTTTTATAATGGGAATGACTATATATATATATTGATAAGACTTAATTAGAAATGGTAAAGGTATAATATTCATGATGCCGACTTATGCATATGCACTTTTAAATATATTAAAAGTGCATAACTAAATTGGTTGCAAGCATACAATACGTTGAATATAGATTGAAAAGCTAAAATAAGTGCATAAAATACATTGAAAATGTGATCGTAACTAATTAAAATTTTAATATGTGAATATATGTATTAATTAGAAGATCGAATAGCAATATAGGAAAGTAAAAGTAACCTAATACGTATGAAAGAGAATAACAAACTGAAAAGGAAAGAAGAATATACGTACACACTTAAATGGATTAGGATGTATTAAATGCAATAACGGAGACATGAAAATATCTCATTTACCCTTAATGACAGTTAATGTCACGATCAAAGTAGAAGTTAATCCAATGGCTCACATCTATTCTTTTTTACTCTCCTAAGATTAAATTCTCACATGAACCTAAATCCAATGGCTCACACACACACACACACACACACACACATATATATATACACACACACACACACACACACACACACATATACATATACAGAGAACTCTTCTTGTCAGGCCGGCCTGACGGGAACCTCCGTCCGGCCGAGCCCGTTTGGGCACCTTCCCGGTGGAATTTTTTGATGAAATTTTTTGAGCATGTTCCTCATCAAGTCTAGTTTGTCCATATCACATTTCAGCTCAAAATTCGATCGGGAAGGCATTCAAATATTTTTTTGAAGTTGACTGCGTCAAAATATACATATAAAAACGCAGTCAACTTCAAAAAAAGATTTGAATGCCTTCCCGATCGAATTTTGAGCTGAAATTTGGTATGAACAAACTAGACTTGATGAGAAGCATGCTCAAAAAAATTCATCAAAAAATTCCACCGGGACGATTGCCAAAAGGGCTCGTCCGGACGGCTCTCCTGGTCAGGCCGGCCTGACATGATGATTTCTTTACATATATATATATATATATATATATATATATATATATATATATATATATATATATATACAGAGGACTGCTCAGGTCCCTCCGGAGGGACGGGAGGGACCGTCCTAACTTTACTGTTTGGGGCGGTTCCCTGTGGAATTTTTTGATGAAATTTTTTGAGAATGTTCCTCATCAAGTCTAGTTTGTCCATACCAAATTTCAGCTCAAAATTCGACCGGGAAGGCAGTCAAATAAATTCTTGAAACTTACTGCACTTTATATATGCGCAGAATGTGCAGTAAGCTTCAAGAATTTATTTGACTGCCTTCCCGGTCACATTTTGAGCTGAAATTTGGTATGGACAAACTAGACTTGATGAGGAACATGCTAAAAAAATTTCATCAAAAAATTCCACCGGGAACCGTCCCAAACAGTAAAGTTCGGACGGTCCCTCCCGTCCCTCCGGAGGGACCTGATCTTTTCTGTATATATACATACATATATATATATATACACACACACACACACACACACACACACATATATATATATAGATTTTGGTTCAGGTGAGAAATGCATCTAATGTGAGAAATGAGAATGAATCTCAGCCATTGGATTTACAAAGTTGCACTAAAATTGACTTTATGTTGCAATAATATTTAAATTTTGCACATGTTGCACTAAAACTGTTTCATGTTGCACTAATATTTGACGGCGTTGCACCGAAATAGCTTCATGTTGCACTAGACACGTGTAATACGGAATTTTCAGAAGTATTTACAGAAATGCCACCGTGCTAGATTGCATATTTCAGTGCATCATGAAGTGTCTTTTACTACAATTTAGTCGAATCCAATGGCTGAGATTCATTCTCATTTCTCACCCAAAGGATTTTCTCACTTGAACCTTACCCTATATATATATATATATATATATATATATATATATATATATATATATATATATATATATATATATATATATATATATATATATAGGGTGCGGTTCCAATGAGAACGGTGCTTAATGTGAGAACGTGAGAACACTCACATTTAAGCCAATGTAATGCACAATAGAGCTCGTCCGGTGCACATTTTGACTTTTCTGGAATCAAGCTTATATACATAATCACGGTGGCATTTTGGTAAATATTATGCTTAGCATAAAATAGTGCATTGGGCGAGCCTTATTGTGCATCACGTTGAGGTAAATGTGGTGTTCTCACGTTCTCACGTTAAGCATTGTTCTCATTTGATCTTTATTCTATACACACACACACACACACACACACACACACACACACACACACACACAGGAGTATTCAGGTCCGGCCAGGCCGGACCACTCCCCCCGTCCGGCCTCCTTCATTTGGGGACCTTCCCGGTGGTATTTTTTGCTCAAATTTTTGTGTAGGTTCCTCATCAAGTCTAGTTCATCCATACCAAATCTCAGCCAAAACTTCAATCGGGAAGGTCGTCAAATAATTTTTGCAAGTTATCTGGTCTGGAAAATACATATTCCGGACCAGTTAACTTGAAAAAATCATTTGACGACCTTCCCGATTGAACTTTTGGCTGAAATTTGGTATGGATTAACTAGACTTGATGAGGAACCTACACAAAAAATTTGAGCAAAAAATACCACCGGGAAGGCCCCCAAATGGAGGAGGCCGGACGGGGCTCCAGTCAGGTATACCTGACCGGAAGAGTACTCTATATATATATATATATAGGGTTAAGATCGGATACAAAGTATGCTTCCCATACAAAATGCAAAATCATCTCATCCGTTTAATCTTACATAATCAAGGGTAAGGTTTTTTTTTGGCACTAACACACAACCGTATTAATGGATAATTATTTATCCTTTAACCATAACTTTCGGCCAAGCAGTTAGCGGAGCAATTATAGCATCCTCACCGTTATCTTATTAATAGGAATGGCTAAGATTAATTTGCACTTTGTAAATTAGGATTACTTTGTATGTGATCCTAAATCTATATATATATATATATATATGTATGTATACTCATATACTACGTATATATTTAGTTCCTACAAAATATTTAACCATTCAGAGTAATAAAATGATTGGAATTTAGTTACTGGAGCATTTGTCAATTAAATCTATGAACTCATGTGTATATATATCTTAAATATCGTGGAAAATATCTGCCCAAGCCGCTTGCTTATTATCTTTTCTTTTTCTTCTTCTTGATTCTCTTTCAGATGAAAAAAGTTTGGGAGAGATGCTTTCCTTCATCGACAGGATTGAAAGGGATATTAACATAACAGAAAAATCATCCTTAAGGCTTAAATCCATGTTATAACCAAACTTCTAAAGTTGATTAGTACATATGGATGTTGCAATGCCGGCTCAGCTCTTAAGGATGTTGAAACTAGCTTGAAACTTGAAAGGGGTGGGAAACATGGTGTCAAACGTTATAAAAGTGATTAATAAATACTCGTAATAATGAATAATGATCGAAGGAAAAATGAAGTCATATTTTTTGTATGCATAAAATAAATGCAGTAGCATATATGTGTACGTGTGTGGAGATGTTAAAATGGAAAAAATAAGAATAAATATAGATCATCAATCGCCAAAATATGGATGAATTCAAGCACTTCAGAATCATAAATAAGTTCAACTCAAATGTTTAATATTTAGGGGTGTTTGAAACTGATTCTGCCTCTGCTTCTTTTTTAAAGCAGAAGCAGAGTCTGAATCAGTTTTCAGAAGTTTATCTCTCTCAACTTCTAAAAAATTGATTCTATGAGTAAATTAGAGCATTAGAACCACTTCTGCACTTTCACCTAAACATTTAAATGTCTTCTTCTGGTCTATAAGAATCAGATCCAAAACACCCCTAATAACAAAAGTGATTGTGTTGCATTTTATGTGCATTTCATCTATTTATTCAACATCTAGATTTAATTTATAATATAAAATGAAGAGGTGCATTTGCATTGACATCCATGTAGTTCTTCGTCAATGAACAAATGAAGTGTACGTCCATAAAGGGCATGAAGATTATGAGTGATAATTGCAACAGTCCAAAAATGGAAGCACATTTATAACTAGAATACATCTATTGTTTTATATAATAAAACTGAGTTATAAAATAGTGATGTGTCATTCTCTCATTGATTAACACAAATAAGTATTATCATTATACTGAAACAGTTATTTAATTCATTAAATTTCATAAATTAGCTCCGTGCTAGGAATTAACTCCTACGTGACCTTAGGCTGCTCACAACTTTTAAAGAATTTAATTAAACATAGGACTCTATTGTATTATAATCACTACCTTTTATACGTCAAGTTTATCAGCTTCATCTTATCAATTTTGATTGGCTTCTTTTTAGTAATTTATCTGGGAATAATTTGCTACTAATTTCGTTTTTTTGATCTCATCAGAAAATCAAACTATTTAACAACTTCAAGCTTACTATTGCGTAAAATGAAATCGCAAATCACTTTAAAGATGTTTTTAATCTAACTTAATTTTTTTTGTCTGGTTTGGTCTGATCTGTGTGAACTGGTCTGGTCTATTTAATGTCTGGTCTCTATATATTTTATAACTATGCAAGTCTGATATGATCTGATCTGAGATGGAAAACAGTCCAAATACAAAAATCCAAAGAGGTATGCAGTGTAACACCCATATAAAAACATATTTGCACACACATATTAACATATTAGCATATAAACACACGTTGCAATCAGAGTTTACATTTTCGCAGCTCATTTAATTTATAATCTTTTTACTTGGTACTAATTGAGCATTAAAATATTCTATGTTGTTCTCTAGAATACAGGAAACAACTTATATGAAAAGTACAACCAAAGTAACTTGAATGTCTTATTAGTGAATATAATAGTATATTAAAATTAACATTCCCTCTATTGCATTGCCCTTTGTCATTGTTCCAAAAAAAATTGGCCAATTTTTCCCTTCCAAAAAACTTGGTCAATTTTCAATAAAAGCAATTAATTTGTAGCTCTACTCATTGCTCTCTCTTCTACACAAACCTCAACTACTTCGAAGTTGGCAAAGTTCACTAATATAACGGGGTAATATAAGTTAATGACCCATTGAAGGAACTAGAAAACCCAATTTTCAAAAAAGAATTTTTAAATCTAATAATACATTCAAATAACAAATAAGTTAGAAATGTATTAAAATTCATATGGGCCTTAAAATTCGTTTCGTTTCTTCCTTTATTATTTCTCTACGTAGGTGCAAGTTTAAACACAATTTTATTGGATATTAACTAAGAAAAATATTATACATTTTAGATTTGTTTTTTGTTACAACAGTTTTATTTTCTATCATTTTTATTTCACATCAAAACTTGCCTTAATTTGACTGGAAAATTGTTTCCCCAACAAATAATCCCAAATATAGAGTTACATATACCTAGAAATTCAACTTACGCGTTGTTGAATATCGAATCAGGCTAAACGGATTTTTTTAATACAGGATATAAAATAGCGGGGTTTTATATTATTATCGAGGAAGCATAAAAGACAACAACTAATAGAACCGATTGTAATCCTTAGAATAGAATAGAGACAATTAACTCATATAAAGCAACATGAGTAGTTAGATACAAAACGGGCAATGCAATAAAATGACTAGAACCAAAACACTGTCTATCAAAAGTATTCTCCCGAGAATCCAAATATCCAAATCAAACTTACTTGAACTAAAATAAAAATAGGTACTAAAAAAATAATACAGATCGTGGAGTAAAGCATTTTCATAAACTCTTCCTGACATTGAGGTGGTTCTAGGTATGGACGAGCTTCGAAAGCATTTCCATAAAACTCTTCTTGCCATGGATGTGATTCTAGACATGGACGAGCTGCTATAATATGGACTACAAAGGAGTTGAAAATCACAAAAATGTTTGAGGTACACACTTTGTGTACACACTTTGTGTACACTCGTCTGTCTCTTAAGAAAATTTTGTCTGTCACAGACAATTCATATATGAGTTGTCTGTGACAGACAAAATTTTCTTAAGAGACAGACGAGTGTACAAAAAGTGTGTACACAAAGTGTGTACCTCTAGCATTTCTCTGAAAATCAACTTTACATCAGTGACACAACCGGGGTATGCCTCGGGTGATACACTAGTTCAGTCTACACCAATATTATATTTTAGCTTCCAAACTGAATTTCTTTGAAAAACCAAACTCTACTGTAACACCCCGGCCCCACAGGCCCCTGAGGTAGTTACCCCAGACCTCTAGCATTGTCCTCACAAATCGCCACTAGCCTTTTGCACATACTTTGTCCTCACTCGCGTGCGCCCTGAGAGACTTCCCAGGGGGTCAACCATCCCAAGACTACTCCCGTGCAAGCAGGCTTAACTTTGGAGTTCTTAGCGGATGAGCTCCTTTAAAAGGAGATGCATCTTGTTGGTATGAGTAGTACTATTAATCCGTTTAAATTAAATCTCAAGTTTTACAATCACCCCTACTTAGGAACGCAATGTCCTCGTTGCGCCCAAAAACCAATCTCAAATCTCAATCAAATCCCAGAATCTTCCCCCGCTAAGTGCCTGCCCGATATCCAACGGATCAGCACACTATCGCAGGGTTGCTCTGATACCACCTGTAACACCTCGGCCCCGCAAGACCCGGGGTAGTTACTCTAGACCAATAGTACTGTCCTCACAAACCACCACGAGCCTTTACCGCGCACTTTGTCCTCACGCATGCGCGCCCTGAGAAACTTCTCAGGGGTTCACCCATCCTAAGACTACTCCCGTGCCAGCACGCTTAACTTTGGAGTTCTTGGGTGATGAGCTCCCTTAAAAGGAGATGCACCTCTGTTGGTATGACTAGTAGTATTAATCCGTTTAAATTAAATCTCAATTGTTACATCTACCCTCACTCTACAATAGTATACTACTATCAACAAATAAAACCACACTGTTACATCATACATCTCATTAAGTGCAGTCGTGTGGCATATCATATAAACATTGATCTAAATCTAAATTAATAAAAAATACTTTATTGAGGTTAAGTCCTCGCAGTTCATAGACACATATATCTCAATATTTTAGGCTTTTGTTGGATCTTTTAGGCATTTAGTGTATTTATTAGCGAGTGTTAAGTAGATAATGAAGACTATAATCAAATATTCTCTGCGTTCTTTTTAATTAGTTATTTTTTATTCCTAGTCAATGATACTAAATTTTAATCGATAATATATTTATATACGTGAATGAATGAATATATTTATATACATGAAAAGGATTAAATAAGACCTTCTACTGTTACAAAATCGTCACATAAGGTTGTGTACTCAATATAATGTCATATAAATATGTCTACTTAATTATAAAACCAATCAAATGAGTACTAACAACCTTGTGACAACCTCATAATTCCGATTGGACTGAAATATTTAGTCAGAATTGACTTAAATACAAGGCAAAAATAACGACACTTAAATTTCATAATGAATTTGATAATTAATAACTTCGAGAACAGACTTATAATACAATTGTACACCATTTAAAAACACAAGTTAGCAAGAAAAATATCACTAAAAACCTTAATTAGAACACAGATACATAAAATGAAATTAGATTACAAATAAACATAACTACTACTATTTGTGATATGGACATGATAACTTTTTTAAAGGACATTAAAATGATGATTAGAAAATAAGTACTCCGTAAATCCGTAATAAATTGGATGTAACTACGATAATAAATAGATGATATATAGTAATTTCCAACAAAGATGGATATTTAGAATCTACCTATCTTTAGAATTCCAAATTTTTGAAAAAATCGATCAATTCCATTAGGACTCTAATTCGCTTGGAGATTATAGAAGTTGTTTGTTTCCTCGGTTCAATTTGCTTTGTTTTTGCTTTGTTAATAAGATTGTTTCTTTGTTCCATTTTCTGGCTACACGTATATACGTATATACAGTAGTATTTTTTTTCCTTAAAGTGTGCCCCTCTATAAGTGATGCCCTAGACACTTGCCTAGGTGCCTTGGGACTATAGCCGGTTCTGACGATTACAACACACTCTTACCGAGCCCAAACCTCAATCCTTTAATTATAAACTGAGAGTTTATAGAAGAAAGTAGAGAGAAAAGTTGCACTATTGAATGCAAATTTGTTCTCTTTACAATGAAATAAATGTGGATATTTATAGTATGAGGTGGTTGGTGAAGGGGGCAATGTGGCGAGCCTCGTATGGATAACCCTTAATCATAAAATCTCTCATTTCTGGTGCATTAAATGCACATTCCCGTCAATTCCTTGTAGTCTTGTTTAATCCGACGTAGTTACCAAAATTGACTGAGATTGTCCAAGGTTTCTATTACTAGTATTGTTCAGTATTCTAAAAGGCGCTAGGCGCTAGTCGGGCAGTGACTGGCTGCCTAGCACCTAGCCCGCCTAGGCGCCGACTAGGGCGCCTAGGTATTTTCCTTTATTTCTTTGTTTTTTTTTTATTTTCATTGAAATTTAAATATATTACCAATAATTTTATATATTATTTTGAAAATAGAAATAGCTCATATAATCATTAGATATTATGGTTTATGTATAAAAATTAT